TCTCTCTCTCTCTCTCTCTCTCTCTCTCTCTCTCTCTCTCTCTCTCTCTGCAAGCTGCTTTTTCTGAGGTATGGGCCTGTGGTCTAATGGGCAAAGGACACATTGGAAAAGACATTTCAGATGAGCAACTCACTAGCTTTTTATGGGCTGCAATTCGTAAACTGTCCCTTATGCATACAGGGGACACTGTCCATGCTCTGCAGACAGGCCTGGAGTGAATCTTAACTCCATTCTGGGCACTGGCAAAGCATCACAGCCCTCTGAGGAGACAAACAACAAGGGGTAGTGGCTCTGGACTCAGGTACATTCTGAACAAGACTGGAACCCACAGCCTCCTGGAGGCAAGTAGGGAGTAAGCAGGTGCTTCTCCACTCCGACTTTATTACTCTCTTCTGTGAAATAGGAACAATAACTGTGCCAATCATAAGGAGAGGTGGTGTAAAGGTCTCAGCGCATGCCCTGACACATTGGAGGGACTTCCTGTGGCCTTGCATCTCTACTATGTTCATTGTCATTGTCTTCGTCCCTGGCTGCCATGGCTACCTTTTTACTGATCCCTATGGACTGCTCATCTTGGCTTCTTTTTATTGGATGATTTTTTTTTCCAAAGGGATGTAATGTTAAACAATATTTTTATTCTATCTTCTACTTTTCTGTTGTTATTTTTAACCCTGAGTTGGACGAGCAATAAAAAACAAGACACCCCCGAACACACAGACATACACACACATATACACACAAACACACACACACACACACACACACACACAATTTCTTTGGCTTTAAAGAATGATCTGCAATGTTCTCCTTCACAGAATTTCTCTATGTTGACATTGATTGGTTAATTGATGGATTGATTGGGGTCCAGAATCCTCACCTATCCACTCCACTCTCCAAGGTTATACATAAAGCCAAGTTCATTCCATAATGTCTTCTTTTCTTGAAAGTGATTCCTCTCCACTTTCAAATTCCATGCTGCTGACTTGAAAGATGAAGTAATGTCTCTCACTCGTAAGGGAGCTTTGGAGCAGCAAAACAGTGGTCCTTTGAACATCAGCTGTAGTTGAGCTTCATGTAACCTACCCAGGCACCTCCTGCAGATCACCATCATGAACCACATTTTAGGGACTTGGCCTGGCACTACATCTACAACTCATTTAAGCTCATAATCAGGGATTAAGAAAAGTACTAGAGGCACCAGGGCTTCCTGTAGTATATATAAAATGGAAAGCATACATGACTATAGATACCTTTGATAAACCTTCAGGAACAGCACCTCAGGTACCAATGGTGCATCATTCAAACACTGAAACAGAGAGCTATGTAGATATGTGTGTCGGTGTGTTCCCATATGTGCAGTCATGTATGTGCACATACATATGGAACACTGGCTATCTTGTGTTTATAGGTTGCCATATTGCACCAAAATATGCTTTTAACCTCAGATTGCACTCACTACCAAGGGTTGTTTGAGTCTGTGAAAGGTGTATAGTGTCTGAGACTGGAGGAGGAAGCAACTGATCCCCATCTCCTATCTCCAGGCAATATACTCTTTGCCTAGACACATGATAGAATCAATAGCCAAGGCCATATATGGAAGAAAGAATGGTAGACAGAATATAAGACAAAGAAGCACAGTGTTTAGAAGGTGTGCCATCAATACCAACAATCCTTTAAACATTTTATCTTTATCTTTGCCTTTCAAATGCATCCAAGTTTTATGTGTATAACCCTTCTGTTTCCCTGCCTTGCAGATATGGAAACCAACTACCTAGACTGTCACTCCATCATGCTCAAGACTACAGTGCATAAACATTCACATCAGACATATGCTCTGCCCTGTAGCATCCTTCACCACATCATAACACAAAGAAGCATCTAGAGGCTACTCTACTTTCAATAAGAACAAACTGGTGGGAAAGGAGACCAGAAAACCTTGAGAGACCATCTTTTTTCTCCCACAGTTCATTAGTGGAAGAAATTATAGATAATTTTAGGGAACTGTCAAAGAGATATTCTTATCTACAAAGACTCAGCCAAGCACAAATATGGTGCCAAGCTTTGAGTGTCTATAATTCTAATGGAAAAAAAATACTTGAACTGATGTTGGAATTTAAGTCCCTTCCTACTTGGCTGAGTGTCTTGGCCGGTGAAGAATTACCATTCTCCCCTCCCTTCCTCCCTTCCTCCCTTCCTCCCTTCCTCCCTTCCTCCCTTCCTCCCTTCCTCCCTTCCTCCCTTCCTCCCTCCCTCCCTCCCTCCCTCCCTCCCCCCCTTTCTTCTTCTTCCTCCCTCTCTCTCTCTCTCTCTCTCTCTCTCTCTCTGCATTGTGAGCCCTCAGAGCTATGCTTCCTTGTTTACTTATTTAGAAGTCATCAGAGGAAGTGGTAAAGGAAACTAGCTGAGTCGTTTTCTGAGAAGAGACCATATTTGTTCACAGGGGAAGCCGCTGCTTTTGGGGATCTGGCTACAGCAGAAAAGACTCCTCTTCAACAAGGGTGTTCCTGAGGGTAGCTGGGAGTCAGAAGAGCCAAGGACACTTTGGAGCTCTGGATCTGGGCTTTTTCTCTGTTCATGGCTGCGGCACCTCTTCCCAGTTTGTGAGCCTCTCCCTGAATAGCAACCATGGCCTTGAAGAATGTCCCCTTTCGCTCAGAGGTCTTAGCCTGGAACCCGGACAACCTCGCTGATTATTTCAGGAAGGTGAGTCTTTCCCTCTGGTGCTTTTGGTTGGGCTGGTATGCCTTTGGTTGGGTGGGCAGAGACTGGAGGTGGAATCTGGACAGAATGTGGAAGGTGTATGGGATAGTGACGGATACTAGGAGACAGACAGACATTGGTAATGTGTTCTGTAGAAAAAGATAGGGGAGGGAGTCCTCAGCTGCACAAATGCCTAGTACATACCGCCTGTTCATCCAGTGTTCTACAGACTCTGCTTTGTCAGAAACAACCCACTGTCATGGAAGTTCAGTGTTATCATATTAACAATCTGCATTGACAGTGTTTCATCGGAACAACATCGTTATTTTGCTCAGCTGAAAAGTCAACTTGGAGAGTTTAAGTGGTCCAAAGCTCTTGAGTCTTCTGCCATCAGGTTGAATTGGAGTCATGCCTGTTTAGCTTTAAAGCACATCCTCTGGGATGCAGAGGCTTACTGTGCTAAAGGCTACTTACTAGAAAGGGACATATGAAGTCCTGGGGTAGGAAAATGAACAGGCAGGGCAGAAGGGAAGGACAGAGAACTGGATGAACACTGGTGTTTTGACATCTATTGTTCATGATCCTGGAAGAGGGCTAGAGTCTCTTTATTGGCCAGAGTCTCACTGGAGCTTTATGAGAATCCTAGAAAGCTGTCCAGAAAGCAGACATGAGCCCCAGGATAGTTAGGTACACAGAAGACAAGTTCAGCAGACTTAAAAGTCAAGCTGGACCAGAATTCTACTGTCCCACCTTCCAGGATAGGAGGAGATAGACAAGAGTCCTTGTTAACTGCTAACGGGGACTATATCTCTGCTTAGGCATATCCCAAGCCATTAAACTCCTCTTAGGCATCCATGCCAAAGAGGTAAGAGATCGTATGAAAGATATGAGCTTCTATCGTTCATATCTCTGTAGGTTGGTTTCAAATTCCACTCATATTCCAGGTAGTGATGAAGACAATGTCCTAAAGCTAGGATCATAGATGTCATCTACTTTGGCTTCTATTTTTCTAAAGAAATAGGGACCCAAGAGAATAGAATGGGCCCCTTGGGGCATATAGTCAAACCTGTAATCTATATAGTGGTTCCTTTCCAACCTACGGTAGAAGATATGAGTATCTTTTACTGGGTGTGGCATTGCAGGAACACTGAGCACAGATCTTGCTATCTGCAACCATTTTTGTGAATCTCATTTTGGTTACTTTTCCCCCACATAAGGTCATGACAAACTTTCAACACTGTGGGTGAAAATGTGATTAGGCAATTGACTTTTGAGGCATGTTTTTGAAATATTTTTCTCAACTAGAAACCAAGTAAGTTAAGGCAGAAAGGCAGTTTGCCATGGCACAATGGAGTCCTGAATTAGTTCAATAGAGCAGAGAGAATGGGGATTGAGAATTAGGCAAGGAAGTCTGAGGAAGAACCAGGAGGCACCGAAGGGCCCCATATTCAAGTGTAACTAGGGGATTATGTAATTCCACAGTGCCACAGATAATGTGTGAGTCAAGTTCCCTTCTACACACGGTGGGCCTTAAGTGCCGCCCAGGTACTTAAGTACCAGTGTCCCAGGGACAGGCCTTGTCTTCTGGAGGGAAAGAAACAAGGGTAGGAACAAGGAAGCTGGGGGTGGTGGAATTGGCAATCCTAAAAGGACCATCTGTCTACTAGAGACACAGATGAGACCCATCAGATGCAGAGCTTGTTAGTACCAAAAGAAAGCCCTCTGTGAAATGACCATAGAGTCATTTAACGATGCTCTTGGAGATCAGTGTGCTTTTAAAGGATTGACCAGCAAGTGTAAAGTCTACAGAGGCAGTTGGGTTGGGCCATTGTAACTTCTACTCAACTTTGGAGTCAGACTTGCCTTGGTTTAAATGTGACTTTTCAAGCTAGTTTGGGGGCTTCCTTTTGTTGCTTCTTTGACTCTCAGTATCTGAACTTCCTAATCAGTGAAAGAAAGGCATGAACAGTAACTAGCCAGATGAGATGGAGGTGAGGTGGAAAGGAAACATGTGAGAGGCATTGAGTTCCGTGTTCTATTGGATCTTTGTCCTGTTCTTCTAACCAGCACCTGATGGGGATGTTCAGACAGCCTGGGGAGACTTTGTGTCATATTACCTCAGATATGTGTGTCTCCCTCTACATTTGGGATAGAAAACATGAGGACTAAGGCCATAGTCTACGTGTCCTTAAGTCCTCCAATTGGTTTAATACTGGCAGGAGAGTATTCCTGGGCCATGCAGTGTAGTCACTGGCTTATAGCCATGTGTTCTAACCCTTGGGTTGGGTTTCTACCTCACCATGTGACCTTACGCCAGACCCTTCACTTTGAGTCTCAGTCACCATCATCTACAAAGCTGAGTAACCACTCAGTCAGTGTCTATCAATCTTGGGTGCTAATCAAAATTATTAAGATGCTTGTTAAAATGCAGGTTTTAGGTTCCAAGACTCAGTTCTTATTGGGCTGCACTAAATGTCTAAGTTCAACGCTGGAACTCTAGCTTTGGTTTAGAGTGATAACAGGTACTCTACAGAACCAGCAATCCATCTGAGAGTGATCACAGTGAAATGAATTAGGGAAGCTGACAATTCCAAGCACCTCCCACACACCTGGCATGTGGGTAAAGGAGATGGCAGGGTGCTGCAGATGCTGCCTGCACTCAACATTGACACATAAATCAGCTTCCCGAGTGCAATGCTCACTCTGCCCTCCTAATCTAGGAGGTGACAACACTTATATTTTAAAGTTATTATTATTGAGACAGGTCCTTGGAGTATAGGCCAGCTGATCTTGGACTGACAATGATCCCATCCTCCTGCCTCAGTCTCCTGGGTGGTAAGATTAGAGGCAAGTGCTACCACACCCAGCTATTTACTTCTTACTTTTTATTTTTGTCATAAGATACTGATTTTAAAATTTCCTCTGAAGAAGGTTGAAATGTTTCTGAGAAGAATCTAAGATCCCCAGAGGAAAATATTTTACCTTAAATACTCCAGAACTCAATCTTAGAAGTGTTTTAGATGTAAATTTTTGTGCTATTAAGGACAAAGTAAGGTGTGTGCATACCACTGTCATAGGTTAGCTTTGAAAACAGAGACCTTAAAACACTCATTTCTGTTAATTCCATCACTCTGTTCTGAGAATTTGACTTCAACAATTTACCTTATATTAAAAAAAAAATAAGCAAATGAATGACCACTGTGAGGTACATGTTATCCAGATGGTGCATTTGGCTGGCTCTTGATTACAGACGGTGTGCACTTAACTAAGTGACACTGTTACTTAAAGACTACACTTCATGGAAACATTAAAGCCATGCTCTGAAGCTCAGTTGTCACCTATGTAACCTCCCACTCAATGCAACACTCTGTGTTTCTCATCCTTTACCCACAAAACTGGGGGATGAAGTGACTTACAGCTTGTTTGGGCCTGCCACACGCAGGGCACCCAGTGCTAACTAGCAGCTGCTGATCTCTCTGCTGAGCCGGCAGCCTGGGAATGACCTGAACATTCAGTGGTTAAAAATTATGGGAGTGATTCAGTACACAGGTCTTTGATGGCTTGTTTATGTTGTTGTTTTGGGTCACTTGAGCGAAAAAAAAAGTCACTGTCACGAGATTAAATGTGAGTTGATTCCTTCATCATGCTCAGAAATAGGCTAGGTTATTTAATTTGCTGAAGTAGTTACCAAGATGATCTCTGGGGGCACAAGACAGAGACTGGTGTTTAGTTTCTTCTGTCAGTTCCTTTCTGCTCTCCTATCTACTATGTGGCTATCTTTCTTGGAGTTTAAAGACAGTGTCTTTCCAGAGGTTTGGGTCCCAAGGACTAGAGTGCACAATTTCTCTATTTTAGAGAGTCCAAGGGAGTAGTAAAAGCATGGCTAAGGTGGGAACCTGGCCCCTCTGTTAGACAAAGGATCAGGAAGGGGCTGGCTAGCCACAAGTACCACAAATTGCTAATCTCAGGGGAGGCAAGTTGGGGGGACGTACGAGGGTCTGTGGCACTGATAGCACCTTGCTCTACTCTGTGCAGCTGAACTACAGAGACTGTGAGAAAGCTGTGAAGAAATACCACATTGACGGCCCTCGATTCTTGGTAAGCTCTCTCCAGTCTCACACATTGAAACTAAGAATACGCTTTGCTCTGCCCAACAGCTGCAGGGTCAACTGGTCTACCTAGTACCTATTGTCATTGTCTGTGGTTAGTGCCCCACAAAGCCCTTTGTTTTGATTAAAGAGTTGGTCAGTCTTTCACCAACTCTCAGTGTCCTGATCAGGAACCTTGCCAGCTTTTACATAGACAGTAAGATATACACCAAAGACATACACTGAAGCAATCTGAACATAGTTTAATCCCCCACCCCCAGTACAAACACAGAGTTACACTTTTAAATTCTACTCAACTATCATGCATATTCTGAGAAGCCCAAAGTACATTACAGGAGATACCGCTGTCCTTGTTGCTAACTCTGCATACGCCTCCACTGAGTGGACTAAAGGTTGACCTCTTTATCTGCATTTCTCCCTAACTACAGAATGTACATACTGACTGTGAAACAAGCATGTGATGGTGCTATCCCAACACTAATTCCACAAGCTTTAACTATAGGCCCATGGTTCAGGTCCATGTTGAGTCCATGCCACTAAAGGGAAAGTGGCCCCATTCTGATAAAGGCAGAGGAACTTGGCAACCAGGGAGGAGGTTGTCAAATTATATGTCAATATGTCATAGCAAAGAAGCTTGGCCATGAGACTTCAAGCTAGTTGAAAGGGACCAAGAGATTACATGCTACAGCTTGCTACACAGCACACCAATTCATTTCTTACCCCTGCTTTGCATCTGCTTCAGTTGCTTTAGTAATGGCAAGCTCCTCACTATACCTGCAATCTTCCTCCCCTTTCTGGGAACCTCTGAAGTCAGAGATGAGTTCCCTATCCATCCTCAATTATGTCAAAAGCTGAGGACAGAGAAAGCATTAATATAAGACTTTTGCCTTCATGAAACTTTTTAAGCAGAAAGATACCTTCATAAAGGCTTTTAACTACCTCATCTATAAGTGAGGAAACATATGCAGAGGTGTAATAATTTTTTGTCCTAAGTCACAAATCTAATGTTTAACTCAAAGCATGCCTTTAACTTGGTCCTATGGTGTATAGGGTTTTAGCAATGTTATTTGTTCTTACTGAGCTTTGAATGAACAGAAGCCCTTGAGTTTTATTGTTACTATTCTTGTAACAACACTCAACCTGTATCTTTCATTCTGATGCTTTAGCACTGAGAAAAGAGACACTACTTTGAATACAGAAGGAGGTCAATATCTTTGAAGAGGGTCGTTTGTGGTTGAACTGCTGTCCTGGCTAATCTTGATTAAGCATTTGTCCCCTGTCCGTAATCCCTCTTTGCTTCCTCCTCTGATGACTGAACGAACACACTGTTCAGGATCACAGTGGGGGGATGACAATGACACTTCTCACCTCTGTGACTTTCCCCCCAATACCTTAATGTGAGTGTCAGGTCTGAATTGACTGATAGGATGATTGTTTCCTTCCTTGAGTGATGGTATCTGAACATCTGTCTCCTCTGTTCCAATCTCTGGGACCTATCAGCCCTTTGTAGAAATGAGCACACCCAACTCACCATGTAAAAGGGGGCAGGAAGAACCAGCGAACAGGGAGTAGAACCCAGTGCCTGCCCCAGAATCTGAGTTATTCTGAAACTCATGGTCCAGCATGGGTACTCTGGCTACACTTTGGAAGACTTGATGCAAGCTCTAGTTATTCATCTCATACCTGTGATCACTCTGGACTATCCGGGACTATTCTACTATCGAAGCAACAGGGCTTGCAATCCACGTTCCCTTCTTCTTCCCCTCCATTTCCTCTTTCCTTCCTTTTCTTCCTTCTTCAGTGTGGGAGCTAAGAGACTCGCCAAATCTGTCTTAAGGCCACTTTTCTATAACACTGAGGAGAAAGGAGTATTTTTCTGATGATAAATGTGAATGAAGCTGAACTTTGGAAAGGTGTAAGAGAAGAAGGAGTGTACTTGGTAGGTTAACTGGGAAGGGATGTGGTCTTTCTCAAATAATAAGAAATGTACAAGTCTTAAGGCTGAGAGACTTCTGGAGGAAGTCCTGAACTTAGGCTCCATTCAGTCTATGGAGAGCCTGAGGGTTTGAGCTAATCATTCCAAGCTGGCATCTCTACCTCTAGGTACCGCATGTATATGATAGGCCAGAGGAAGAGGGGGAAGGCAGAGAGTAAAAAGTTCATGGTGCTTGGTGAATGTGCCCTTATCGCCATCTGCAAGGAAATAGTGAAAAATGACCATTATTCTGGAGGTCTCATCCAGTAAACTGCAGATTACATCTTACTGGCCACAAGAGAGTATTGTGACTCCACTATCACCAAGGTAACCTTAGGAGTTAAATGTTTTGCACAAACACATCTTCTGTCCTGCACCAAATCGAGGTTCTGATGGTAAAGGCAACAAAAAGAACGGACATTGTGAGACAAGCAGCCTTGTCTGGGGACAGGGGACCTTGCCTCCCCACCAGGGATCTGCTTTCTAGCTACCTTCTCTCTGGATCCCTTTTCTGAACTCAACATATCATCATGTTTCCAATATCCACAAATCAAACCCCAATAAAGATAAATCGAGGATTGCTGGAGGGTTTTGCAAGGAGAGGAGGAAGTTACATCACACAGCAAAACCCTCTAAGCCTGTTTCAGTATCTTCTGTCTTCCCTTCTAACTGCTTTCCATGTTCTAGAGGCCTTTCTTTCTTTCCCAACATCTTCCTTTTCTGTCCAACTGTGCCCATGTGCACCTTCTCTTCCATCTCTTCCTCAAGTCTCCCATTTGTATCCTCCTCTCACTCACTTCCAGAGCATTCCTCTGGAAACCCTGAGGCAACTTCAATTCACTGTGCCACACTCTGAAAACTGTCTTGGTTTTCCACCTTCCAGGTATATGGCTGCTCTCTTCATCTCCTCTATAACACAGGCAGCCTGACAGGAGCCTAGTCAGAAAATGTACCACAGGTTAATAAGGGGTGGGACTGAAGCATCAGTAAGCACCTTGCCAAGACACCTCAGCCCTACCTCCTTTAATGACACTAGACCCTAACTGCCCCCTTCTCATGCACAACTGAATGGGAATCTGAACCATGGAGGAAAATAAAGGGAGGACTTTGCCAAATTTTGACCATTAAAAACAATCTGTTTAGTTTCACAAATTTTCCTCATGTGTGTTTATTAAAGTCCTTTCTGTTATAATTCAGGAAATGTCACGCAAAATTCTAATTATTTCAGGGTTCCTTTTGAAGAAGCAAATCCAAGTGTGTTACCGAGACCACAGCTCTCTGTCGTTACCCTCTAACCTACCTGATCAGGGCCCTGATTGTGTGTTTTAACCTGTCTGCCCTGTGTGCCTTCTTTTTAGAACCTGACAGAAAATGACATTCAGAAGTTTCCTAAGCTGAGGATGCCGTGAGTATACCCGCCTGGTGGGCAGCAGGATGGGAGCAGGTTGAAATAAGAACATGTTCAGGAGAAAGCGAGTCAGGCGTGTATCAGTGTGATTTTTTAATGGTAAAACAAGTAGGAGGGAGGTTGAGGACAATGGAGGAGTCTGGGGAAGAGGAGTCACGCAATGAGTTAGAAGAAGGAAGTAACAGATTCAGGGCTGCTAGTGGTTGGAAGTTTTCTTTACCCTACATGAACTTCAACACTAGGTTGTGTGTTTCATTTCCTGTCTTTTTGATGGGGTGGCTTGGGCCTATGAACACAGTACCAAAGTCCAGAAAGCCTATAGTTTCATTGTGGCATCTTTGAGAAGGTTTGTTTTGTTTTAAAATTATATGTTAGCCTTTTTGTCTTCATGTGGGTATGTGCATGGGAGTAAAAGTGCATGTGTAAGCCAGGATAGCTCAGATCCCCTGGAGCTGCAGTTACAGGCAGTTGTGAGGCAGCTGATGTGGGTGCTGGCAACAGAACTCCGGCCCAGTGTTAGAGGCACCTGGTCTTAACTGCTGAGTCATCTCTCTAGCGCCTCACAGCGTCTTCATTGACTAGTTGGTTTAAGATTTCAGGACCGCTGGTTCCTGATTAGTAAATGAATGTGGACCCATAAATAAATGGAATGGAGATTGTTTTTATCTGTCAATATTGATTTTGTAGACTAGCTGTTAGTGGTGTAGTATTAAGAGGAATGTTGAGGAAAAGGAGGCATAATTGATTAGTAATGTCTACCCTGGGTACTGAAATGGGATGTAGCAGTACACATTTCCTGTTGTGTATTTTTCATTGTCCTGGCAAAGGTCTCATCTGCTCAAGTATAGAGCCCAGGAAGTGACGTAAGTGCACAGAGTAGGGCAGGTTGCAAACACAGATTCCTTTTGAGTTCTTTGTTTTTGTTTTCCTTGAATACAAGTATCTCCAGAGAAATATGTTTTTGCACTAAAGATAGGACATTCTGATTTTAAAGACAACCAACACAAAGGTTGATTGCTGGTGAAACTGTGGGAAGTACCGTTGGCTCTGGCAAACCACGTATCACATGGTCCATCCTGAGAGCGCAGCAGCCAAACAGCTTTGGCCATTGTGGACCCGATGGTGGTCAATCTTCTGATTGATCAAAAAATAGCTGGAAACATGAGTTCAAATGTTCTATCTCTTGATTTTTAACTATTGACTCAAATGTTTCTAAGCATTATGAAAATGAATATAAACCTAGCCGTGAGTTGGGCCTGCTCTTGGTGCTATGGCTTTGAACCATCTACTTTGGGCATTTTCTAGAGACTCTTCTCTTGTTCTAAGAGCCTTGGAGTACATAATGACAAAAAGAAAGCACCCAAAGAAAGTAAGAAGATTTCTTGAGTAGGTTGGAAGTCCAAGGAAGTTCAAACAAGGAGGATACACTCAACCTGGTGACTGGGTCTCCTTTGTCCAGAAGAGTGAAGAAATAAAAGCTTTAAGGGTTCATACTTGCAGCTGACAGTCTTTGTTAGATCCCCCAGATTTTTTTTTGTATGTACATATGGCTGATTCAGTTTAGGTTAAATCTAAGACCCAGTTCTACAAGCCTACCAGACATATTTCAAGACATATTTTAGTAGCTATAGGAATGTGGCTACTACTGTAGTAGTCCCTCTTCACTTGTGGTTTTGTTTCCTATGGTTACCATTACCCATGATGCACTGCATCTGAAAACACAGTAGAATAAAATAGGGAGAGAGAGAGAGAGGGAGAGAGAGAGAGATAGAGAGAGAGAGAGAGAGAGAGAGAGAGAGAGAGAGATCACTCATATGCTTTTATTTTTACGGTATGTAACATTTGCTTTACTTTGTTAACTGTTGTTATTAATCTCCTACTGTGTCCAGTTTATAAATTGATCTTTGTCATAAGCATTCCTGTATAGGCAGAATTATCATTTTATATCAGGCTTTAGTACTACCTACATCTTCAGGCATATCTGCTGGGGGTCCTCCTGTGCACAAAGAGTGGTGATTTTATATGGGGAATACATATGCATTTTTACAAGTGCATAAAGTGACAGTTTAAATACAAACCAGTTTCTTGTTGAAAGTCAGGCACCCGGGAGTCTTAATTGTTGGCCACAGACTTAGCCCTTGGAGACTTTAGGCTTTGCTCATCCTGTGTTTTGAAGTTATTGAAGGTTTCACAGAAGTTTTTTCTTCTAAAAACAAATAGGAAGTATAATTCAAAATCCATATTCTATTATGAAAGCACTCAGGCAAACCTGATGCCTGTACTTCAAGTGGGATTCGTTCTTAGCAACTTAATGGTAGTTCTCACCACAAAAGCCCAGCAGCAACTCCTATGCTTACCCTTATCCCCAGTCTGCAGCCTGGGACCAAGAGGGCAGTATATCCTGAGCCTGATGGATCCTCAAGTTGAGGAGGCAGAGCTGAGACTACAGGAGATGAGAGTCCACTAACCATGTGCCTGAGAGGAGAAAACTGGGTAGAAAGAGTTAAGGGAAAATTCCCAGGATTCCTGTCTAGTAGGATGCTGGCTAGCCTATGCATAGTAGTGTCTGACCTAAAAGCCTATCCAATCAGAGAGGTAACAGGAATCAGAGGGTTGAAAATGGTGTTCATTTCTATCAGCCAGGTACCAGGATGCCCAGATTCAGTCACTAAGGAGAGCGCACAGAAAGGCCTTGTCTCCAAAAATGAAGAACAGTCAGGCCTAATCTCCAATCTGTTCTGGTTCAGTTAAGTCAACCTTATAAACAAGGCAGAGGGGATGCAGACTGCTTCCAAGCAACTTTACTACATCCTCAAATAAAACCCAATTACGCAAAAGTATCCATGATTAAACAAAAGTAGTGTGTAGCATCTAACTAGCATCAAGCAAGGAAATAAACAGGAAATATGACAATGGAGGAAAACAAACATATTATAGCTGTCGCAGATAGCTGGGACTATTGGAAAGGAGCACTGTAGCTGAATTGTGTGAGTTCAAAGTCAATCTGGGGTACAGGAAACACAAACAGATCTGCACAAAACTTCAAGAGATCAAAGTATTTGAGATGATGGGTAGACTGCTATAGTTTCATCAGAAACTAGGTTGTGCAGAATCACATGGCAGTGTCCTAGTTACTTCTGTGTTGCTGTCATCAACATTATAAACCAACTGCAACTTGGGGAAACTGGCATATCACAGTCCATCACCCAGGAAGCCAAGGAAGGAACTCAAAGCAGGAACCTGGATGCAGGAACCGAAGTAGAGACCTCTGAGGAACAAAAAAACAAAAGTGCTTACCGGCCTGCTCCTAGGCTCACATTCTGGTACTTTTTCTATAAAACCCAGACCACTGTCCTCAGTGAGATGGATCTCCTCCATCAATAAGCAATCAAGAAAATGCCCCACATTCTCGCCTACAAGCAATTGCCTAGAGACAGTTTCTCAGGTGACGTTCCCTCTCCTCTAGTATCTCTAGTTTGTGTCAAGTTAACAACTAACAAGATGAGTCATGGAACACGAACCCAGAGCAAGAGAAACTATCCAAAATCAAAGGGAGGAGGAAGTTATCACAAAGTTAGTTATCACAAACTATCCAAAGACCATCAGGGAGCTGGGGGATGGCTCTGGGCTGGATCCAGTGCATGGCTAGCAATCACAAAACGCTGGGTTTGCTCTCCACTGCTGAAAGTGGGCAGAGCATCTGGCAACTGTGGGGCCACTTCAGTCAGCTGAGTATGCAGGACTAAGGTTCTCAAAAGACGTGCCTGCTGAGCAGTAGAGATGCAGAAATAAAATAGAGGAGGAAACAGTATCCAAGAAATTCCAGAGTTAGATAAAAGTTAAGTCCTGAGAATCAAGAGGGCACATCACAAAACCCTAAGTCCCAAGAAACAGATGGACTGCTGCTCTGTGTTGTATTACCACTGAATTTCCCCCTAAACAACTGACTAGCTAGAGCTAGCCAATGAGAAGAAAAATCACCCGAGTAGTCAGAGAAGAGAAAGCACATTGAACTCTGAGGCAGGACTATGAAGATAGAGGGTGGAGCATCTGTCAGAAACAATATCACCTGAAAGATCCCTTAAGCACTGAAAGGAGAAAGTCTCAAGATCAGCGCCTGCCCAGTGACAAATTATTTCAGAAAGGAAGGCAGAAACCTTAACCAGTTTGTTCTGATTTAGTCTTCACTATACCTACTGCTACTGCACAAATAATCGAAACCATATGTCTTAATAATTACTTGTCTGTGAGATTCCTGAGAAGGTTGGAGGCCTCCAACGATTTCTGCCTTTGGTCAAAGGACAAGAGTGATAGCTAGAAAGGGAGCTATGGGAGCAGAGACAGCTGTGGTATTGTGCTCTGGTGTCTCCTGCAGTTGCTCATCATTAGAACTGTGTCTGGTATGTAGCAGGCACTCAGTAAATTGTCTGACAGCTGTCAAATGCAGGTAAAATAGGACTTTTGAAGACACATAAAATCTGAAAGAGCTCATTCCAAATGCTGACCCACTCTACAGTAACTGTTGTAGAACGTCTCCTGGGAGGAATGACATGGCCCCTGCTGCTAATGTGGGTCTTTGTGGAAGGATGGAAAGTGTTAGAAATGGTGTCCCTGTGTCCATAAATATATATTCGGTCCTTTGAGGACATCTGAGTTTCATCTCTCAGTTCCTATACAAATTACTACTCTGTGTATACTTCACTTATTTAGCAAGATGCCTACAATGTCTAAAGATTTGTCAGTGTAGGGCTGCAAAGAAAAAAGAACAGATCCTTCACACAGTATGTTTATAGTCTAATGGAAAAAACATATAATAGTCCAATTGTAGCCAGACATAGTAGTGTATGCCTGTAATCTCAGTAATCAGAGACAAGAGCAAAAGGGTTGGGAGTTTGAGGCCAGCCTCAGCAACACAAAATGAGTTAGAAGTGAGACTGGGATATATGAAACCCTGTTGCCAAAAAGAAAGAAATGAAAAACGGGGAAGGAAGATAAGG